AAATATATATATATATATTTTTTGCACTATTTAGGTGGTCGAGGTGGCAGAGGAGGAAAAGTCCAAGGTGGTAGGTAGCATTCCATCCAACAGCAATTTTTAATCATTATTGAAGTATCTGCAAACTAAATAAGTTGCTTTGATTTTCCCATTTTTCTTTCACAGGGTGGTCAGACAGCAGAGGCAGAGGAGGGAGAGGGGGGCCAGGTGGAGGCAGCTGGAAAGGAGGGTGGGGAGGCCGTGGTGGAGGACAGAGAGGAAACACATTTGGGGGACATGACAACCAAGGAACTGTCTACTACAGCTAAAAGATGTTAACTTTGGAACTTATGTTATTAAAAGCTGTAATGCTATCATCAATATAAGTCAAAATAAAATTTGCAGAATTTATTTATTGCAGTGGTTTGCACTAACGTTCTGTAGTACATAATACCATCTCTTTATCGGCATATCTGGAGTTTTCTGGAAACAGAATAAATCTCTTGCTCCTGGTCCTAGTAGTTGAAAAGTTTCACAGGACGAATCATTAACCAGTGGATGAGACATCACATATATGTAAGCATCACTACTACAGGTCAAAATTAATTAATTTAGGTTAAATCTTTTTAACCCAGGTTGACTCTCAATTTCCTTTGTCTCTTACAGCTGTAGCTCTGTTCATAAATAAGGAAATTTTAACCTCTAGTGAATTTAATTTTGACCTGTAACATCACCAATAGTATTGATTTATCCAGGCAATATAGGGCTGTGCTCTAGCTGCGTCTGCTGGCCCCTGCCACAGAAGCATACAAGTTTTTGAACAGCAAACAGCACTGCAATCTGAAACAGAATTTGTTCGGTTCTGTGTAAACGTGTTGTACAGGTAAAAAATTGTCCGCAGCAGTGTAAACGGGGCACTTTGTCCTCGAGCAGCTTAAATTTCTTACGTTTTGCCAACACAAGCGTTAACAGAATACAGGGCCAATCAAATATCAGGTCCACCTTGTCCGAAGGTTTTGAAGAACAAGTCATACATAACAAGGACACTTTTGTTATTTTCATGATATGGTATTAAGTGGCCCTGCATTCTGCAGTAGTTTAGAGGGGAGGAGTTCATTAAAAGAATGTACTTTATTTGAGTGTCGATATATTTAGCACGAAAGTACTTATTGAGGACACTATTTTTACGTCTCCTACTGGAGACGGGACCGCCATTTTACGGGGTCATCCGAGCCAGTCGAAGGTCTTGTTCCTGTTTCAGCACTAAGAGAATTATCAAGATCATTTGACCAAAACAACCGTAACTACTCAACAAATGATGAATCTGTATTGGTTCAAATTTCCTCAGCAGGTGTGCAAAGCCTTTCAAGACAGTAAATATTTCAATAGTATTCGGGAGTAAAGTGAACCATCGGTCATAAAATTATATTAATTTTTATCAAATTAATAATCTTCAACCACAGTAACAGGCAACCGGCAGCAGGAAGATCGATCAATCATATGAATCTTCGATCTGGCTGCTGCCTTTCGATTTAAAATACTCCAGTCTCTCAAAAAAGAGGTTTTTCGCAAAGGAGTACAGTTTGATATCCAATGAGTTAAGTTCTTGAATTCGAGTGAGGTTTTGTTTGTCAACTGTGATAGCACCGGCACGAGTCTCTTCGACGCTCAATTGTACGAATGAGTGACGGAATTTCATTCCGAAAGTTTTTTCAAATAAATATTGACTTTCAGTTTGGTGTTCGACGAGGGCGAAATAAGCCATGCTTTCGAGGTTTTTCTTAGCACTGTCAAGTAAAATTTTCTCTCTCTGATCGCGTGGCATCGCCGTAGTATCGTAACAACCTACAAGTTTCAAATCGGCGAGCATTCGCGTTTGCCGATTGAAGGCAAGATTTGAAAAACAGCCTAAAAATTCAGGCAGCGTTACATCAGTCCAGTTCTCTCCTTTGTAGCAAGGAGGCAACTCTTTCTTCGATGGAACCCTTCCATTACACGTATGTAACGAGTTTTTCCAAGTTGCACCGCGTTGGTAACAATGAAATTCACTGACGAATCGCGATACGGGCTCGCGTAAGATTGTTAAGTAAAGATATTTTCGCATTGGTTTCTTTCCTTCGTGACTGTTCATATATCGTGGAACGCAAGCTTGTAGTTCGGTCCAATCGGCATGTAATCCACACGGCCACCCCAAAGAATATCGTGAAAACAGCCAAATATTTTTTGAGTTCGGTCTCTTACAAGTGCACTTTTTCCTCTTAGGAATACATTCACACGGGCTTTTGATGTCCAAGTTTTTCACCAAATGCTTTCCGAATTTCGTGCCTCCTGTCTTTTGTATATGTAGAAAGACTATTACATCGTTTCCTTCAATGTCGAAAGGGTACGCTTTTACGACGTTTGTCGACGTTTTGGAAGCCCCTCTGGCATTGCTTTTTGTCCTTAAGGATGTCACGAACGACATCGCAGAAACACTTTGACGACAACCTTTGTTGTAGCATGCATACATCAAAATGAATGCAGTGACAACAGCCACCACGAAGATAGAAATAAAACACGTTTTTAGCTTCCCAGGAAAGTTCATTTCTTAAACATCTTGCAGGAAACACGAAGAACAATCCCAAACATCGCAAGCTACTGCAGATAAAACACCACGGAGTGATAAACTGAAATTGACTATATTATGTTGGTTTCACGCCTATCGTGGTGAAATATATCTCACGGGGGTAGGGTGCGTATGAATTTAAACCATTTCGTTGTTGCCGGTTTTTCATTTTTTTTGTTGCGTCTTTAGTATAGCACGAGCCTCACGTCAGGTCAACGCCATTTACAAATTTTGAAAAATGCAACCCGCGGAGTTATGCGCATGCTACCTCGCGAGCGTTTTTTAACATTTGGCAGATTTGGTTGAACACAGCGCACGGGATATTTTTATGCATTTTAGGGATGGACCATTAGAAAAGTGATGGGGGGGTGGGGATTTTAAGAGAGACAAGATTTTTTTGGTACATTTAAGGTAGGTGGAAATCCTTTTTTATTTTTCACCCGATGGCTGGAATTTTTTTTTCCAATTCAGTGGGTGAAAGTTTCTTATGTTTCATATGTCACGTTTATACTGAATAATAAACAAGAATTTAATACGTCAATTAGATTCATAAATAGACTACAAACATGTAGAAAGTAGGTGAGGTTCCTTGGACGCGATGAATAAAGTAAAGCAAAGATGTATAGTACAACAATAGTCTTTGTTGGGTTGAAGGAACTGAAGACTAGCAACACATAATAAACTAAACCCCTGGCTAAGATATTCAATGGGCTAGCCAGGAGCAAAGATCAAACCAGTCCGGAAAAGTTCGCCCGTAATTTCAGTGTTATTCACTTCCCCCGGGGTNTTTTTTTGTTGCGTCTTTAGTATAGCACGAGCCTCACGTCAGGTCAACGCCATTTACAAATTTTGAAAAATGCAACCCGCGGAGTTATGCGCATGCTACCTCGCGAGCGTTTTTTAACATTTGGCAGATTTGGTTGAACACAGCGCACGGGATATTTTTATGCATTTTAGGGATGGACCATTAGAAAAGTGATGGGGGGGTGGGGATTTTAAGAGAGACAAGATTTTTTTGGTACATTTAAGGTAGGTGGAAATCCTTTTTTATTTTTCACCCGATGGCTGGAATTTTTTTTTCCAATTCAGTGGGTGAAAGTTTCTTATGTTTCATATGTCACGTTTATACTGAATAATAAACAAGAATTTAATACGTCAATTAGATTCATAAATAGACTACAAACATGTAGAAAGTAGGTGAGGTTCCTTGGACGCGATGAATAAAGTAAAGCAAAGATGTATAGTACAACAATAGTCTTTGTTGGATTGAAGGAACTGAAGACTAGCAACACATAATAAACTAAACCCCTGGCTAAGATATTCAATGGGCTAGCCAGGAGCAAAGATCAAACCAGTCCGGAAAAGTTCGCCCGTAATTTCAGTGTTATTCACTTCCCCCGGGGTGGGGGTACTCCCATACATTACCTATACGGGTATGTGCCGCCCAACGGGGTCGTGATTTTGAAGCTCCTGATTTGGAACGGGGTATCTATTTCAGAGGCGTTTTCTAGAAATCGAACGGGTTATAAAAAATTGTAGATCACGGCTTTATCTTCTGCTTAAAATTGTTGCTGATTATGAAGAAGCATTTATTTGATGGATAAGTGGAACAAATAAACAAATATCTTTTTAAAAAAACAGGGCTATTTCAATTTACAAACTTTCTAGAACGGAGTATAAAAATTGGCCCATTTCTAGAACGGGGTATCAGTTTAGGGCGAATTCTGGAAAGGGGTATGAAAAATTAGCCGATTTCTAGAACGAGGTATCAGTTTTAGGGGAAAGTTTTTTTAGAACAGGGTTCCAATTTGGAGTCCCAGGCGGCACATACCCACCCAAAAAATACCCAAGTGCCCCCCCCGCTTCCGGTTCACTTCGTAGTTGATCTGGAACATATTCACCTGACTGGGGCTCGCATACGCAGGATTTTTGTACAGGAAGAGTGTCTGGGTTGTTCAATTTCATTTATGTCTGTGTTGTGGAAAGCGCATATCTTCACTGCAAAGAGGTTTGTGAATATGTATTAATACCTTATTAATACCCAAGATAACGTTCATTCCAAAGGGTTCCAAGTTGTTTGGTCAGTAAAGATTTGTGAATAATACATGTAAAAGGTTAGAACTCTTCAATTTCAGTGTCTGGCCTACAATTCAGGGCGGAAAAACGTAATGAGCATGCGTGAACTTTTTTGCCCAGATCCCCTGGCCGGGTTTGAAAAAATGGCGGGATTTCAAATATTTTATTGCCTAAAAATAAAATGTTTCCACTCATAACCTGGAAAAAACAGGCAATTTGTCTTCAAAAGTTGCAAGCTGTGGTTATAACCTTGTCGTTACTTAATTTTCTCGAAGAATACCTCATAGTAAAACGGACTTTAACGACTTTAATTTCCTTGCGTTGTACTGGAAATGTGCATGCGTAGGTCCGATATTTTTCAAGATGCATTCACAAAATGTGTTCATATAAGGAAGTTCCTGGATATATAAGGTCCGGAGCTCCACAGTGGACACAAAAACAACATATCTTTGGACAGTGATTTGCCCAAAAAAATTAACGCTTGCCCACAATGTGTTTGAAGTCACTGAACTTTGTCACACTCGAGCTGATATTTTAAAACCCTCGCTCGATCGGACACTCGTAGTTTCGCAGATCACTAAAATATAAACAAAATCCTCAATGTAGAAGTTATTGCGTTGATATGTGGTTAGAAAAAAGGTCAATCTTTATCTAGTAAAATCTTCCCAAAAATCGGTTTCAAAGCAATTATAGTTTTTAAACTTACTCGTTTCGCGCAGATATATAAATTTTGCTTTGTGTTGTCAAGTTGAACACGCATAACATCTGTCAAAAACCTACGCGTAAGTAGGATTTCCTTCAAACTAAGTTAAAGTTACATTATTTCAAAAACTTCTTGCTGACAATGAAAAAATAAATTTTCTGTACGAAAACAACCTACCTAAAGATCGTAAAAGCAAAAGATCAGTTGCAACTTGGCAGCCAAGCCATGATTCACCATTTAGCTATTTTCAATAAGCTTAACTGGTCCATGCGAGGGTCTTCGTTTAAGCAAATTAAACTCAGCCGATCATTAGAAAATACAGAAAATTGCACATAAGGGTTTGTTTTGCTCACCTCAGTCAAATCCAGCTGCAGCAATTGTTTACGGGAAAAGAGTCAATTGTTTTGAAGTTACTGCCGGCAGTTGTTGTTCTCTACTCAGTGTCTACTTCACAGCGAGTGAAAAGGACAATTTGCGTTCAGAAAGTTATTCTTCAGAAAGAACAGAAACTTTCACAGTGCACTGGAAAACAAAACTGTGTAATGAAAAATGAAAAAAACTCTGACTATTATAACTTGAGCAACAGAAAAATGATCTTGAGTAGGCTTGCTGGCCTTCTATTTCCGAGAAAGTTTAATAAGCGCACAAGTTTGTTCACTCTGATGCGTTATAACAGCAATATGGTTCTTTGACTGAAGACAAAGATAAAGCTGGTTCTGCGAAGGTAATAAACTACTAATAACAGAATAAAGCGGATTTTCATTCAACCCGGCGAAATCAACTCATAAATTAATCGGATGCACAATCAGAAAAAATACTCGCCTCTTTGGAAATGTTCAAAACCTTTTATTCCACCTCAGACTGACGGAATGATCCGCTTTTCCTTTAACATTGGTTGTTCTGAATCCAAAGTAATTTTCAAGCGACGAAAAAAGAGCAAAGATGTCAAATAAAAAATTAATGCTTTACAGGGAGCAAACGTTCGCACCTCGTGCATTTCACTCAGAACTCCAGCAACAAACAAACACAGTCACACAGAAAAGCCCACCTTGAGCCTGCGATAAGGGATGCGCAGAAGCTTGCGCAGAACGTTTTTCCGCCCTGAAA